TCTGATTATCCATCAAGCTCAGCTCCGGTGTTCACTATTGAATCCATATGGCTTACCTCATTTCAGGTTTTTTTTTAAATTTTTATATTTTCATTATTTATTTATAATAATAATAACTCTAAAATAAAAGTGAAATGAATTCAGAAAACGGGTATTGAATCGACTCTAAAAGAGTCGTGGACAAGTAACAGAGGGATGCCAATACTATACCTGTGGACAGACTTAATTCAAGATGAGGCAAAAAATATTTTAGATGCAGTGGATTGCATCGATCTGGATTGTGTTCACGTGGAAAGTAATATACCTGATAAGCAGGTGAGGTCTTTTAATTGTTATTTATTGTTATTATTATTATTATTATTATTATTGTTATTATTATTATTTTTATTGCAGAACAACGTGAGTAAAGAGTGTCTAAATGAGGTGCGCTATCGAGAGATTGAAGCGTTTGCCGAGAGAGCTGAGGAGGAGGACTTTAGACGGGGCTTTTTTGAGTGTGAGGTGAGGTTTGTAAAAAATTTTGGTGATTTCAGGTTGGCTGGTTGAAGTTTTGAATTTTTTTTTGAGGGGAAGGGGTAGTGATTGAATTTTTTTGAGTACTTTTGAAATAGGGCTGGGAAATATTTTCATTTTAGGTGAATTTTATGGTTGTAAAAAAATGAATTTTGCAAATTTCAGGTGTGTTTCGAGTCGAGGAGTGGGGATGACTGTGTGAAGTTCTACCCGTGTGGGCATATATTTTGTAAGCAGTGTGTGACAGCGTTCTATCGTCATCAGTTGAAAGAATTGTCAATTAAGCGATTGGAGTGTCTCGATCAAAAGTGTGAATCGTTAGCCAGTGAAAAACAGCTGAAAACGGTTCTGACAGATGACGAGATCGAATGGTACCCAATTTTAATTTCAGGTTTTTTTGAGGAGTTGAAGAAGGGGGGGGGCAGGGCTAGGGTGTTCTTTTTTTGCTTTTCGATGACAGTGACTATTGTGCGTTGGCAAAATGACCCGGGCGAGTGGTTAGGCCACACCCATGGAATGTTGTTATAGCTGATTATTTTTTTATTCCTGGAATTAATTTCAGGTATGAGAAAATATTGCTGTTTAATGGGCTGGACACGATGCAAGACGTAGTGATATGTCCGAGAATGTCATGCGGAGCGCATGTGTTGTTGGATGAGGATCAGGCAAAAGGAAGTTCACTGTAGGTATTATTATTGTTATTATTGTTGCTGTTTTTGTCATTTTTATTTTTGTCAATTTTGTCATTTGTCATTATTTTGTCATTTTGTCAATTCGTCATTTTTGTGTTGCTTTAGTACACCGAATTTGGCGCATTGTGCGGAGTGTAATTATACGTTTTGTATCATTTGTAAGA